CAGGGTGGGGGCTGAGGACTGGGTAGAGTCAAATCTATTAAAAAACAGATTGAGTTCATTTGCCCAGGCCTTGTCCCCCTGCGACCTGGTGACCATCTCCACTTTTACCATGACCCGAGATGTGTTTCAGGCCTCTCCACACTTCACGCATGTTGTTATTCTCCATGCTCTGCTCCAGCTTCTTCCTGTAGCTAGCCTTGCACCTCTGGATCATGTCCTTTAGTTCCCGCTGCACCCTGCTCAGCTCCTCCTTGTCCCCTGAGAGGAAAGCCCTCTTCTTCTCATTTAGTCGTACTTTTAACTCGGGGCTCACCCACGGCTTGTTGTTAGAAAAACACTGTACTCTCCTGGATGGTACGGTATTTTCCACACTCAAGTTTATGTAACCCGAAACACAGTGTGTGAGGCCGTCTATGTCCTCTCCATGAGGAGTGCAGAGGATGTCCCAGTCTGTGGTGTGAAAGCAGTCCCTCAGCTGCTCAGTTGCCTCCTCTGTCCATACCTTTACTACCCTGACCTGAGGTGACACTTTTTTCACCACTGGAGTATACACAGGAAGTAGGTGAACAAGGCTGTGGTCAGTGACCTAGAGGGGGGAGGGGGGCAGAGGTGTTCACCTTCCTGGCATTTGCATACATTAGATCCAGAGTTTTATTGTCCCTTGTGCGGCAATTTACATACTGGGTGAAGTTTGGGAGGGTGGCTGAGAAGGGGAGAGAAGCATGGTTAAAGTCCCCCGAGATAAGAATTAAAGCCTGTGGATGTTGTGTCCACAGCCCGGCTATGGTGCTCAGCGCGTGCTGACACGCAGCCTTATCTTGTCTTTGTACAAGTAAAACCGCTGGTGCTGCAAAAAAACATGTTTTGTTTCTAAATGGCATTTTAACTTGGACAGCTTCATACTTTCTTGTGCCGGTACTTCACTGCCTTTCACACATTGAGACTTATGTCCATTTTTATCATCTATGTAAGTAAATCCATACTTAACATAGTCCGAATCACATTTTCGCTTTGCCATCTTCTTAACAAGTGGACCTATCTTAAGTGAGTGTACACTGTCACCTGCCAATCAAGGTTTATCACGGCAAGGTTAGGCCTCTGCATATCATGCACGCATATGCACGCATTTCAAAACAAAAGCCTCACGTTAGATACTACCTAAGGATTTGAATCCACAACAATATATCGCTCTCAAAAACAATTTTTTTTTCACCATGTTGCAAAATAGGGAATCTTATATAAACGTATATTAGTTATATAAATAAAATGCAACATATATTCATGTCAAATTTGATGCGAATATAAATGATGCAATTCTAAAAACATATAAACATCACTGAATGAAAACAGATGGAGTCAGCTTCAAGTGATCATGACCTAGTGGTGATTTTGCAAGCCTACGTAAAATGAGTAAGACATAGAAATGCACCAATTGTGAAATTCTGGGCTGATAGCAATGTTTAAAATAATTATCCAGTTTATAGCCAATGTAGATACCAGTCTTTTCTTTCTTTTTTTTTTTTTTGTTATTTGTTTTCCCTTTTGTGTCAGGGAAACAAGAACATTTATTCATTCATTCATTTTCTACCGCTTAGTCCCTGAACGGGGTCACGGGGGGGCTGGAGCCAATCCCAGCCGGCAATCGGGCGAATCATACAAATTTAATAGCTATAACCTTCTTTCACATGTCACAGCCTTTGTTCTGAAAAATAACTTTCAAAAGCCTTGTTAGCTTGCTATATAACTACCTGCTTATTTGAGAAGGATTTTTCAGTACATACATAGCCACCATATGTCGCTATCTGCTGAGTGTGCCATGCACCCAAAGCTAGTCAAGCCAGTGTCAGAGATTTTGCCATATTTCTGGCATTATCTCTAACAACAGCATGCACATTAGATTTGTCTTTTTTCCATGTTTCAAACATTTTCTGAAATGCCTCTGAGATAGCATATTTGGAGTGGGAGCCCATGAACTCCTGGGAGTGTAGCACTGCTTTTATCAAGTTAGTCTTTCTCAGTCCACTGTGGCGTGAGGCTCAGCATACTCACAGTGGTTTCATCCTAACTCCAAATATCAATTGTAGAACTGATGGCAGGGATGTCATCAGCCAGTAGGTCATGAATGTATATTGCCACAGTGTTGTAGAGTTCAGGGAGACAGATGTCAGCAAAATGACGACAACTGG